CTATGAACACACTCTAGTCTTAAAGTTGCTTCATTGCTATGGGAATAATCTCACAGATTTATTCACGCCTCCCATTGGTGGATCCTTGAAATATGTGTGTGTGTTTACTTAATGTATATCAAGATAAATCATAAAACTATTTTAAAAGCTTTATTAGACAATGAAATTACGATCTTAAATTCTCTACTTAATGAAGAGGTTGTTTCAAGCTGAGAGTGGAATTATGGGAGTTTCACCTGTGCTGCTTCATCTTCGCAGGCAATGATGGAAGAAATCGCGGGCTTTGAAGAGCACCTGAACAACCTTAAAATCAAAGGAGACACTTTGATCGGCCAGTGTGCGGACCACCTGCAATCAAAGCTGAAGCAGAGTGTGCATGCTCACCTGCAGGGTACAAAAGACAGCTACTCAGCACTCTGCAGCGCCGCCCAGAGGGTGAGTCGTCCAGCGTGCTCTGTGGCGTGATGGGTCACAGAGCAAGGCTGTCCAGGCAGAGTTTCGACAAATAGGATTGATGCCTAAGCCTTTGGGAGAGTTTCAATGATTTGCCAGACAGAAAATAAGAGGGCAGAATGCACAGCATCTGCATCACCCCAACACAAACATAGCATGTGTTTGCTTAATGTATCAAAGCTGTGAACTTCAGGTATTGGGGTTTTTTTTTCCAATCATTTTGCTCAAAGCATTAAGAAAAAATAATTGGCTCAGAATGTGGCTCCATTAATAGTTTGCCTAGTATCATTCAGTTCTCAGCACCACATAAGCCAAGAGTTATGGCACATGCCTATAACCCCGGCACTCTGGATGTGGAGTCCACAGGCTCCAAAGTTCATAGATATTCTTAACACATTTCAGCTTGAAAGCCAGCCCGGGTGACAAGAATCCCTGGTCTAGGAAAAAAAAAAAAAAAGTTAACAATTTAGTAAGCTGGGTGTAATGGCTCATGCCTGTATTCCCAGCACTTGGAAGGCTTAGGCAAGATGGTTGCCATGAGTTCAAGGCCAGCCTGGGCTACAGAGTGAGACCTTATCAAAACAAACAGGGAAAAGTTATATTGTCTGCTTTTATTTATTTGTTCACCAGTAGTATTTTTGTAGCTTTCCATTTATTCCGTATTACTAAAATGAATGAATTTTAATCCCCACAGTCATTCAGTTAACACTGTGAAGCCTAGTTTCTACTCTTATTCAGTGTTTTTGTGCATTTGTATAGACATCATAAAGAGATTAAGTACTGCCAGTTCTTAGGCTTTAGGTACATGTCCATAAAAACAAATTTCTTAATGCTATAGAGATAAATCTAGGATAAGTAAAAATTGCTCCTTAAATAAAACAAGTATCATACGTGAAATGCTTTCTGTTATTGTAAAAAAAAATGTTTTGAGATACAGTCCTACTGTGTAACCCTGGCTGGCCTACTTGCTATGTAATCTAAGCTGACCTTGAACTCAAAGAGCTCTACTTGCCTCTGCCTCTAGGTTTACCTGCCTCTGTGCTGGGACTAAATGTGTATTCCACCATGCCTAGTTATTATAGAATTTTTTAGTGATATCAAATGTTTGTATCAGTTTTTAAAAGTCTTCCTTGTATTTCTTGTTGTTGTTGTTATTGGGATAGCCAGGAGGAACTAGTACGATAAGGGACTTAGAGTGATCTGTGTTCAAGATAGATCAATAATGTTGATTGATTCCTGGGACTTGAAAATTTCACCTTAAAATGGTTAAGGAAAAAAAATCCAGGAAAAGTTGCAAATAGTGACAAAGGGGAAAAGAAGAGAGTATAGAAAATATCATGGCTGTGGCAGGGAGTTTCTGATAGGCCCTTCCTTCTCTCATTCCACACACATCCATTGTTCACTGACTGCCTTGAGAGCAAGCTTTTTCTTTGCATGTACAACTTAGTTTTTTTAAAAACTTGATGAATGTTGCAAAAACAACCATTAGCTTCAAAATTCAAAAAGTAGATGAAACTCTTAGAACACTGAATGTCCTAAAGTTTGCAAAAATGGTAGAGAACGAGCCCCCTTCTTGGTACTAGGGAATGAATCTAGGGCCTTTCACATGCTAACTATTCCACTAGGCACTAGGATGTAGCCCCACACTTGTTTTTTACTTTTTCTTTTGAAAAAAGGATTCACTAAGCTGCACGGGCAGCCTTGAGCTATTCTATCTCTGTAGCTCAAGTGGGAAAACTTGATTGGATGATTGAGAACAAATTAACTGAACAGAAAAAAAATAGATGAATGGTTCCAAAATATAATTTCCAAAGTTGAAGGAAGACCTCGGAACCCCACTCCCTTCCACGGGTTATATAGTTCTAATTGGACCCTATTCCAATGGCAAAACCATGACAGAGAAATTAAGTTATCTTTTAAAGATGGTGTTTCATTTTACCTTTTAGTGCCTATCTTAAACAAAAATTACAGTATTTATACCCCTCTGACTTATGTTCCTGAACATTTATTCCAATGACTTTATGTACTATAACATATTTTGGGCCTTATATGACCACGGGGCCTGTTATCATCTCCTAATCAGTATATTACATTGTAATGTGTGGATATATTGAGAAATTATAAACTGAGTTATGGTGATTGCATTTTGCAACATTTTGGAACATATGCAATCACCTTAGATGTGTGCACAGCGTTGGGGAGGCCTGAGGATTTAAAGTGACTGCTCATCAATTACAGTGATGTTTCTAGATAGAAATTAAGTCAACTCTGTTCTCAGGTGTATCGGAGTTTGGAATATGAGCTTCAGAAGCATGTCAGCCGACAAGACACGCTGCAGCAGTGCCAGGCGTGGATCTCTGCAGTCCAGCCAGACCTGAAGCCCAGCCCGCAGCCACCTCTCAGCAGAGCAGAAGCCGTTAAGCAGGTAGTAGACTCTGCAAAGTCTGTTTTTCTTATGAGTCATTCATTCAGTCCAAATGTAGTAAGTACCTTTGACGAGCCGAAGTGTTGTAGCTCCTGGGAATATCCAAGTATAAATAAGGTCTGACCTTGGCAGTACTCTAGTTCATGTTCTGAACAGGGAGTTGCATAGACTACTGGCATGTGAGCCTGTCAAATAGAAAGAATATGTTTCTTTAACCAAATCTCAATTCTAAAACCTAATCAGTGGATGTTCACTGGCTCCATCAGTTAATTTTTCTGAGCCTCAGTTTTCTGTTATGTTAAATGATAATCGTTAAGTGCAACTATACCTTAGTATCCATGAGAGGTTGTGTTCTGAGCCCCTGCGGATATCAAAATATATAGATGTTCAAATTTCATAGGAAATGGTATGGTGACATTAACATATAACTCGTATCTACCTAAATTCTTTAACTCCTCTCTAGATTATCCCTAATACCTGATGCAATGTAACCCTGCAAAAATCTTGCTGTATGACACTGTATAGGGAATTAAGAGAAGGAAAAAAATCTGTGCATATGCATGAAAGACACAATTTTGTGTGTTTTTTCCCATTGTTTTCAAGTGATTGAATCTGTGAATGCAGTCTGTCGATAGAGGGCCTGTTGTATAGATCCATCCAAAAGTTATGGTGAAATTCAAATCTCATCTCACAGATGAACGTGCTTTGTAAACAGAAAAGCAATACTAGCATCTCCCACTGTCCACGAACAAGGTGCCTAAGAAGTGATTGCTCAGTACATGAGTGGAATGCTAATTGTTGTCATGTGAAAAGAACCTATTGCACATTAAAATCATTCTCATGAGACTTCATTAGCATACGAGGGAATATTTTTAAAACGTTTGTGCTGAGCAGGTTAACTGTGTAGTGCTAATCTCGTGGGGAAATATCTTAGAAGAATTTAGTTATGAATGTTATTTCTGCCAGATGAATGATGGTATGAAGTAAAACATTCAATTTTCTTACCACTAACTGAGATTAACATAATATTCTTGTTCATTTAATCCTCACAGAGATAGTATCTACTTATTAGTCCCCAGTGTCTACTGGCTTACGAGATTTACATTATTTAAGGCATAGAAAGGTTCCCATCAGTACACATTTTATACTTTGGAAAGCACTGAACCAAAACAAATGAAATGTGGCTCTTTTTGAGTTCATGAAAAGAATTAAAGGCTATCAAGATTCTGGTTTTGTTCAATTTTATAATTTTTATTGTATATCAACTGTACAAAACTGGGTTTCTCTGTGACATTCTCATACATGCATACAACACTCTCTGCACCTTTTTTCTCTCCCTTTCACCTCTGCCCTGGTCTTCCATATCCAAATAGACCCCTTTTACCCTTATGTCCATTTTAAATTCTCTAAATTGCACGTATAAGAAAAAACATGCACTAATTGTCCTAAGTCGGACTTACTCCATTGAACACAACAATCTATTTTCATCGACGTTCCTGCATAGGACATGACTTCATTCTTCTTTATGACTGAATATAAAACATCACTGTGCACATCTGCCACACCTGCTTTACACCCTGAACTTTCTGTGGTCATGCCTTGTCTCATGGACCTTTATTACAAATGAATATTTTATTCAAAACACTCCAAAATGAAGCTTATTTTTTTCTTCTTTGCTGGCCCCTAAAAGATGGGCAGGAAATGAAAGTATGACTCCAAATGGCCCTTTGCCAAACAAGACAAGATTTACTAGACCAGGATAAGACATAACCAAAAGCAGACACTGATCTTGCTTGAGTTCCAGAGTGAGTGGCTCAGTGGTTCCCTGGCTCTGCCCTCCCACAGTCTTTCAGTATGTCTGCCTCCCACTTGAAAGCAATTACAGAAAGGAATTCAAGGCTCTGGGAACATCTGGATCTCAGAGGCACTATATGGGGAAGCGAATTCATTTGGTCATATTCCCTTTCTGTTCTTTCGTTGTTTTGCTCGAAGCAGTTAGTATTTTCCATGGCAACTATTGTGTTCAAGTCAAACTGCGCAGGCCTCGATGGTTGGCTGGTGTAGACGTATGACTGAAGAATTCCACTCCAGAGGCAGAGTCAAGCTTTGACCAGCATCTGCTCCCTGGTCTCAAGATTTATTTTGTTGTTCCAATACTTCCTCAGTGCTAAATACTCCATAAATATATGATGACCACACTCCATATGACCATAAGAAACTGACACAGTGATATGATTCCATTCAGAATCATGTTTTTTTAATTTTTATTTTATGTGTATGGGTGTATTGCCTCCATGTAGGTAAGCATACCTGTGTCATGCAATGCCCACAAAGGACAGAAGAGGCTGTCGGAGCCCCTGGAACTGGAGTTAGGACAGTTGTTAGCTGCCATGTAGGTGCTGGGATTCTAACCCAGGTCTTCTGCAAGAACAACCAGTGTTCTTAACCCCTGAGCCATCTATCCAGCCCACAATCTATGTTTTTATAAGGCATGAAAGAAGAATTAGGGAACTGAGAAAAAGTATCCACAGATTTGCCTCTGAAGTAAATTTTTAAACAAAAATCACTTGCAACTGTTCCTAGTGGTTGGAATTAAGCTCACTTTATGAATCTCAACATAAATTATTATCCTTTAAATTCAAATGCTGACAGTTTATTCTTTTGTCATTTCCAAAAGTCATGTGGGCCATTGCAGGGGGGCACATTTAGCAAGGACTGAACACATCTTGGGTTGGCCACCATTAGCAGTGGAGTTGGCTCCTGGTACCAAGCAGGTACAGGGCAAGGACTGTCCAATACCTTGCAGTGTACAGGACAGAGCTCATCTCCAAGAGCTGTTTGGCCTCAGCTGTCAATGGTTCTGCAGCTGGGACTCTAGATTAGAAGCAGAAACCAGAACCCTGGGGTGTGCAGCTTATTTCATTTCACACTGTGGTCTCCAGTTCCAGCCATCTTCCTGCACAGGGCATGCTTTCATTCTTTATAGTAGAATAGAAGTCCACTGTGTGCACACACATTTCCTTAGACTTTGAGCTTTCTTGGGTCATTCCTTGTCTTACGGCTCTTTATTATGGATGCAATTAATCACTTCTAAGAGCCACTGTGACTTGGTCTCTGTCCAACCCCCACCCCCAACTCTACTCCTACCTGGACCCTTGTACTAACCTTTACGTCTGCTGTCCACCTGAGCGGTTTGTCCTCACCCTGTGCCATGGCTTGCTCCCTCAGTGTCTTCAGACCTAATCCTCTGAGTGGTCTCAGAGATACACTATTGTGAAGCAGGAGCATTTTCTCCCCTCTAGTCTCTCCCCACTTTTTCCTTTCCACCTGCTGTTCAGCACTATAAAAACCTGGGGTGCATATTGTTTGCTGATATAATGTGTCTTTCTCATGAGAATGCCAACTCCATAAGAGCCAAGGTTGTGTTGTTCAGATCGCTTTGTACTCAGTATCTAAAACATAGTCTATCTAGACTCAAAGCATCTGTTAAAAAAAAGAAAAAACAAAAGAACATTTTTCTGTGTTTCTGTGGGGAAATGAACTATCTACTTGCGTAAGCTCCTCTTGGGATTATAGAAAGGAAGGACAGGTGATGAACTTCCTGCAGAGAAGAGAAGCCTAGCCACTTGAGTTTCTCCAGTGAAACGTCCCAACTCACCCTGCCCTTGGCCTTGTCCAAGCTACACAAACTCCCATAAGGAAGCAGAGAAGAGTATTCAGTGGATTCTTTCTCTGAAACGAAAAAGAAATGTGAAAATTAGCAGAAAATCCGAAAAGACTGGAGACAAGCCTTGGGTGTTCCCCTTTCCCAGACCGTGCAGACAGCTTTAATTATAACAAGAAGCAGATGGACAGACAGACCTGCCAGTGTGTTTTCAATTATCTCCCATGAGTCACAAATATATTTTAGGACAATGGCAAAAACATTGACATAACAAATGACTTTTAAAAAATAATCAATCACCTACTACCAACTACACAAGCATGTGCTACCTAAATAGCCAACACACCTCATTCACGCTGACAATTACCTTTTTCCAGGTCAAGCACTTCAGAGCTTTGCAAGAACAGGCCAGGACCTACTTGGATCTCCTTTGTTCCATGTGTGACTTGTCAAACTCTTCTGTGAAAATGCAACAAAAGAATTCAACAAACAGAGCAACTGGTAAAAAAAAAAATTAACAATCACATTGAATTGTCTGTTTTGCTATGTTGTTATCCGCAGACGTTATAAGTGAGTTCAAGGAAAATATTTCTTAGGTTATTCTTGTTCTAATGTCCTTATAGCCATAAAAATGAGTCAATATGTGAATTGTATACAGGTAGAATTATAGCCATTGTAGTTATGGAATCACAACTGAGTTCTTTTGTCCCGTTCAACCACCACTGTGAGCACCTTCGTCTTCTTCATCCTTAATTACAATTCTCTTTTTCCCTATTTACTTACACCAATTTTTGCTCCTTTTTCTTTTTCTTTTTCTTTAAGTAATATTTAGTCTGACAACTAGTGTTTAAATCCAAAAGGTGATACAATCCATATAGCTTTCACAGAAATGATTTATTAGAACAAATCATACACTTTCAAAAACCAGCAAAGCAGATCTACAGATAACCTAGAGCATTAATAACGGGGTGGATAGCAGTGTAGTAATCTATGTCTGCGATCCCACCACTCGGGATGTTGAGGCAGCAGAATTACCAGGAGTTATAGGCTACCCTGGACTATATGTTACCCTATCTCAACAAGTAAGACAAACCATAGTAACAAACAAATAACTACAAAAAACTCAGGACTTCATAAGACAAAAAGAGATGGCTGGAGTGATGGCGGCTCTTG